CTGACTCGACCGACCGAACTGACCGACCGCTCTGATCGGCGATGGCGCCGACAACCGAGCCGACCGAATGACCAGACAGACACGAGGCCGGAGCCCGACCGACGACGACCGACCCGGTCCGTCCTGACGATCGCCGACGAGTCGACCAACCGACCGACCAACCACCGACCACTCGACCGACAACGCGACGACCAACCGACGACCAAACCGACACAACGACTCGACAACCGAGCCGATCGAATTGACAGAAGACAGACGATCCGACGACACGACCGACGGACCGACCGACTGACCGACGCGACCGACGACCGAATGACAGCCTCCGACCGACCCGACCGACGACCGACCGGCGACCTGACCGACTGCCGACCGACGAACACGACCGACCGACTGTCTGACGCGCAACCTGAGCTTGATATCACCCGGAAGCGTGGATATCAGCCTGAGACGTGATATCCACCTGAACGTTGATTCAGCCTGAGCGTCGCTATCACCTGATCCATGCGTGCATATCACCTGAGGCGGTGATGGACTCACCTGAAGCCGTGTTATCACCTGAAGCGTGATATCAACTGATGCGTGACATACCTGGTCAAACGTGATGATTCACCTGAAGCGTGATACACCTGATCACGTGACTCATCACCTGAGGGGTGATTATCACCTGAGCGTGACTATCACCTCGAGCGTTGATATTACCTGTATGCTGACTCACCTTGTCACGTCAATCAACCTGTGCGTGATGCGTGATATCACCTGAAGCGTGATATCACCTGAATGCGTGATGTCACCTGAAGCGTGATATCACCTGAAGCGTGATATCACCTGATCAATGCGTGATGTCACCTGAAGCGTGATATCACCTGAAGCGTGATATCACCTGATCAATGCGTGATGTCACCTGAAGCGTGATATCACCTGAAGCGTGATATCACCTGATCACGTGATATCACCTGATCACGTGACCCCATAACTAATCGAATGAATAAATAAATATAAAGTGACCGCGATGACTCACAGAGACAACTGCGAAACGGTTGCCATAGATACGGGGAATCACATCATCTTACATCGCCAGCAGCCAGCCGCCGCCGACGACGTCGACGACGGCAACGGCACGCGCCGCTCCTCTCTGACTCACGGCTCTATTGTCGTCGCCGCGGCGGCTATCTCGCAGCCCTTCGACCTCCGTAATTGAGTGAGCAAGACCCACCAGCACGCTCTCTCTCACTCTCTCTTTCTCTCTCTCGCGCGCTCTCTCTCTCTCTCTCTCTCTCTCTCTCTCTCTCTCTCACCCAATCACACGCATCTCCCCCATTCCCTCCGCCCGGAGATATGTCCGCGATAACTCTGTGGTAGATTATCTGCCGTCGTCGTCTGCCGCCGCTGCGGTCACGGCGCATACGCGCGGGGGTCGACGGCCGACATATGTCGCGGCGCGTGCGAGGCGGGGGAAAGCGGCGGCGGGGGCTGGGGGGGGGGAGGACAAACACACGTCACTTTGCGGGCGGTGTGCGCAACAACGAGACGATGGTAAACAGGCTAATACACGTTAAGCGCCGCTAATGCGCGCGGATATATAAGTGTGACTGATGCATTTATTCAACACTTCCGCTCTCCCGAGTCATCTGATCGCCATTAGGATGCGACGTCGCGAAGAGCCGCCGATGTCGCCACGGCGCGGGGCTGTGTCCGCGTCGCTGACGCCACGGCCGCCATCTTTGTTCGCAATCGACACTATCAACATTATTAAGTTAAATATTGGCGCGTATTTCTATTTTTAATGCTTTTATTATGTGCGCGTTTTTCAATTGCGCTCCCCTTCTGTTGAGTTGGCAAACATTTGACTGCTAAGATATGTATAGCCAGTGCGTATAATTATGCCTGCATGCGCAGTGTCACACGCAGTTGCACTCGCACTAGCACATACACGCGCACGCACGCACTAACACGTACACGCGCACGCACGCACTAACACGTCCACGCGCACGCACGCACTAACACGTCCACGCGCACGCACGCACTAACACGTACACGCGCACGCACACACGCCGCGTACGCACTACGGCTATAGACGGACGATTCTCTTTGAAGTCGCAAGAACTACGTATTATTTATCTTAATCCGCGTCGCCTCCCGAGGTGTAATCCGGATGATCTATACCAGCATGACGTATTCACATGAGCTGCTGCATGATACTCTCTGTTCTCCACGTCAGGTACCGGACAAATCCAGCTGTGGCAGTTTCTACTAGAGCTGCTGTCAGACAGTGCTAACTCAGGCATCATCACCTGGGAAGGTACGAGCGGGGAGTTCAAGCTGTCCGACCCGGACGAGGTCGCACGCCGCTGGGGCGAACGCAAATCCAAACCCAACATGAACTACGACAAGCTGAGCAGGGCCCTCCGGTAAGCAGACGTCAGGCCACCTGGTGGACAACAACGTAATGAGAGACGGCATGGTCAGAGTTTCAATCTTTGACGGTTTCCTGTCTTTGCGACCTGTGTGAGTGTTTGTGAGCGTGCGTGCGTGCATGCGTGCGCGCGCGCGTGTGTGTGTGTGCGCGTGCATGCGTGCGTGCGTTTATATGTGCGTGTGTGTGTGAGCACGAAAGTATTTGCACGCGTGCGTGCGTGCGCGCGCGTGGGTTAACATTATTGCTAGCTGGCAGAAAGTGACATCATCTTCTATTTTAACAGCTACTATTACGATAAGAACATCATGACGAAGGTACACGGCAAGCGCTACGCCTACAAGTACGATTTCCAGGGCCTGGCGCAGGCCTGCCAGCCGCAGAACAACGACCACAGCGCCTCCTACAAATACCAGTCCGAGTACTACGGTCTGTCAAACTACCACGCCGCCACCAAGCTGCAGTCGTACTTCTCGCACCCGCCGATCACGCCACCTGGCAACGGATTTTTCCCAAATCACGGCGCGTACTGGACGCCACCTGCCGGCATGTCTAACCTCTACACAAACATATCGAGCGTGCACGCACATCACCGGGCCAACGGGTTTACCGCCAGCCCTCACTCCTATTACGGATGATGATCAGGGGAATACCCCGAGATTCGTCGGTTTATATTGCCTCTAGCATTCGCGCCTGTCGCCATTGCATCAAGTTGTGGTGTCGAGCCGCCGTGAGTGTGTGTGTGTGTGTGTGTGTGTGTGTGTGTGTGTGTGTGTGTGTGTGTGTGTGTGTGTGTGTGTGTGTGTGTGTGTGTGTGTGTGTGTGTGTGTGTGTGTGTGTCGTCTAGCTCAGTAATCTCGTATTGCTTCGTGTAGAATGCATTAAGCTCGTGTTGAATTTCTTTATGTGATTTGTGGCGTTAATTTAAGAGATATTTATAACTGTGGCCATAAAACCCGAGCATGACATTTCGGAAACAGCAAAAGTGAAGAGAATAGGGGAGTAAGCGAGAAGGGGCCTAGATATAGAGCGAGCCAGGAGGAAAGAGAAAGAGAGAACGCGGGAAGGGAGAGAGCACGTGAGCTAGTTAGCGAAGGAGCAACAGCTAAGAAGAGAGAGGGGACTGGGGAGAAAGAGGGTGAAGGAGAGGGTAAGAGCGAGTGAAAGCAAGCGAGGAAAAGCCAGGACAAAGGCATATCTTTCTTCCTGTTGTTATTCAAAAGAACGTCTGAAATCGGTTTCATACAGTAGAACTGTTCAATATAATGACAAAAGAAATAGAAGCCCAACAATATATTTACCAGTCAGTAGACCGATTGTTTGAGTTGACGACGATGGTTGAATTACAAAGCAAGTCACATCGCATCACATACGTTATTTTGTTCGTTTGTTTATGTGTGTGTGCGCGCGTGCGTGTGTGTGCGCGCGTGCGTGTGTGCTTGGAACCGAGTAACACCACGACAAAACAAAAAGATAAAATGGTAGTAAGACCGTACCACGTCAGTAGATCTGTCACTCCGTTAGACAATTATTGGAGTTATTTTGTGTTTAGCCGTGCAGTTTGCTTGTTGTTGAAATATTGGAAAATGCGGAAGGTACGAATACACACATACAGACACGTGTGCGCGCACACACACACACACATACGCACGCGCGCACACATACGCACGCACGCAGACACACGCACGCACACACGCACGCGCGCACACACGCACGCGCGAACACACGCACGCGCGCACACACATACGCACGCACGCACACACATACGCACGCGCACACACATACGCACGCGCGCACACACACGCACGCACACACATACGTACGCACGCGCACACACACACGCACACACTTACGCACGCACACACACACACACACACTTACGCACGCACACATGCGCACACACACACGCAATCACGCACACAATCACGCATACGCACGCACGCCCGCCCGCACAACCACACGGGATATATGTATATATGTCTATGAATATAAACTAGTAAAATCTGGTGTTTTATTGAATGTGTTTAAACACGAGTAAATAAGAGTGCGTGCGCGTGTGTGTATCTGAGAGAGAGAGAGAGAGAGAGAGAGAGAGAGCTAATCATGTTAATTAATACAGAATACTTCAGTGGCCATCTCACATTTACGTTTTCAGATGCACGTCCTAATTTGCCTTCAGCTGACATTTTATTTTAAAAGGATGAAGGAACAGAAGTAGCGATGCATGGTATCATTCTTTAATTATCGATCTTATCATTCGTTTATTTATACGTAACGGTGTACATATAGTCGGTTGAATCACGCAGAGGCTGTACGTAGCATGTGCGTACTAGCAAATACGGTATCACGTAACACGTGGAGTCATAGCCTCAAGACGATCTGCTATTAAAAAATGGAAACGTGCTTTCGGAAGCGTATTGTCTTGCATAACGGCCATGCCCAACATAAAGACATCTCCGTAAAACAAGGCCATAGAAATCGCAAGCATTTACGTGGGCCAGGTTTGGAATAATGACTATTAGCGCCACCTGGTGTCCATTTTTGTACAAAAACAAACTGCCTGAGCGTAACCTTTGTATAATAACACAATATTTTGTACATGCTGACAGTCAAGCAGTGCTTGTATCGACTGTTCAGCAATAATTTAAGTCCTAAAATATATCAGAGCACTTGTATCGATTATTATTGGTGTAAATATGCAGTAATGAATGTAATGAGGAATATTTCCAGGCAATATCGAGTACAGGATATAATCTATCAATATCAATTGTCAATATTGAGGTCAATTATAATTCTTATTATAAAGTAGAAACCACAAACCTCACGATCCTTACTTCGGCTGATGTAAAAACGAATGAAGATGTTAGCAATGTTAGTAATCTGTTGAATAAATATACTTCGTACACACACGTTATGCATTTAATCTTGGATCTCATCCCTGCTCATAAATCTGAAGGAATGATACAGAAAGATTAAAACCATCTATTGAACGCTTTCATGAAAACGACAATGAAAAAACTATTAATTACCACTACTTCAAACAATTTTTTTTTAAATAATTATCCAACATTTTTTTTGTATAAGCAGTGTGCAATGTTTATTTTTCCTTGTTTCCCACAGTACCCACATTTTACCCAAAAAAGTTCATTTATATTTTTTTGTATCTATAATTAGTTGTTACACATTCACCAACATGGAAATTAGAATCCTACGAGACAATTTACTTGAGCATTAACTACTCAAAATGTAGAGGTTGCAACTCATAATCAGTGATGTTATACTCACATGCAGGCATGAGAACAGCTTGAGATGTTTATGGAGGAAATTCGTGTCGTGCGTAGCACACTGTCCAGCTAGCGGGGTCTGGGGGCATGCCCCAGGGAATTTTAGAAATTTGGAAGGGCAGATAGGCCATTTCCACCATTACGTTCTTAGTAAAAGACAAATTTCGTGACTAACAATTCAGTTGTCATTTTCTATGAAAATTTTAATGTTTTATGTGGCGGTTAACTTAAAGCATGCCTTAATTTACATTACATAGATACACAGCGATATTTATTTGGAGTTCTGTTACTTCTGTGTGAAATTTGAAGTACTTTTCCCCGACCTTTTATGAAGTTTAAATTAAAAATGGCGTCCGCTTTGACAAAAAAAGTATGCATTACCACCCTAAGCTTTCTATTAGTTTTTTGCATCAATCTCAAGAATGACCAAAATGAAAATTCAAAACCCGGAAATCGGTGAATCCGTGGGAAATTCTCATGCCTGCACATGGCAGCATATTTCACACCCACCTCCCTGTGCCAACACGATATGCAAATGTACAAAAGAACACCACAGAATCACACTCGACACAAACTTTACAACTTCACAGAGAATTTATTTATGTATATTTTTATGATGGTGACAAGAACTTTACTTTGCTTTCTTCGACTTGATTTTCCTCAAGTAGAAGTCAAGCTCCTTGCCCTCCAGAATGTATCCGTCACAACGTCCACACTGTCCTGGTCGTGACGCGATGCAAGCTGCGCACAAACACAATATATATACAGCTGTGCTACAGATACAGCATATCGCATCCTATTCAATGCATAGTCGAAGAAGTGGGCAGATTTACGGAAAACGTGTAAATTCGTGACATTCATGCCAGTCACCCAAAACCTACTCCAAGAAATTCGTGGACATGCTCTATTTAGTAGCAGTCAGTGTAACTATGACAACCTGAGGAAAAGTCACAGATCGGGACACTATGACCAGAACGGTCTGATCCCGTCGTCATATCAGATTTACATCATCACTCTGCTACCAATCAGGTCACACGACGTGGGACGCAGTGGGAAAAATATACGGGGGCTTTAGCCCCGGAAATGCCAAAAAGAGCCCCCGTAAATTTGCATAGAGTTCAATGCAAACAAAATTTTAGAGTGCTATTTTCATCCACGCGAGCTTGAAAAGTAGCCCCCGAAAAATAAATTATATTTTTTTCCCTGGGACGGCCTATTTTTAACCATACATGCATTATACTTATAGTTCTAATTAGCAGACAAGAAACGTACAATCACACTGAATGTTTATTTATACAACATTTGGAATTTTAGCGAGTCACTGGACCTTTGCCCAATCCTTGGAGAATTCAGACCCGTGGACGGTTTACACCCATGTAACAAACTAATCGGACTTCACAAACCCATCAGGTTTTAGACGACAGCTTGGCCACTCAGAATTTCAAGACAAGCGGTGTTTCCGCACCAAAGGTCGGAGCGAGATAAACCCAAGAGTCCAAGACCTATTTTTATATGCTATTACAATAACCACTAGGTCGTCACGTCATAACACCAAAATTTGTATAATATTCAATAATAAACTCAAATCACGACGTGCAGTTTTTGAAATGGGAATGCTCACCTAGGACTCTGCCAGTCATAAACTCATCCTCAAGAACCGGCTCTACTTTAGCGTGCTTCTTACGCAGCTCATACTTCTTCATCAACTTCTTGCTGCGCTTCTTGTTAATCCTAGCCTCTTCCTCCTCGGTCTGCAACACCAGACAGCCATAAAACGGTAAACATGGCATATGGTCCAAGTCACTACACATTACTCACTCACATCAAAGCTTGGTCAGGCTCTTTGCTCGTGGTGTGAACTGTGTGTGTGTGTGTTGTGTGATTGTGTATGGTGTGGGTAACCTATCGATATCACGTGGTTGGTGGACACGTCAGTAATAAGGATGTGCATCATCGGATTCAGCCGAAAGATGGTGTAAAGTTCATTCATCATTCCATGTCACCACGCGGCACAATTACGTTTCGCCGTCAACACGTACTAATGCATAATGTTAACCTCAAAAATAAGCATGCTAAGGTGGACTTTTGCAAACTCACCAGCTTTGACGCCTTCTTTCTACCCAGAGGTAGAGCATAATGTGTCTCGTACCAGGTACGGAATGGGGTGGCGTCAATCGTGACGACAGCATTCTTCACAAGAGTCTTGGTACGCACCAACTCGTTGTTGCTGGCATTGTATACGACGTCAATGATACGGGTCTTTCTTGCACAACCTAATCATTCACAGAAAACAAAAAACAGTCTTTAGCCGTGATATTGTATTATTTAATGCCAAAGATAAAAGGATGCAGGATTCCCCACAGGTCATTTCTAATTTGTGCCATCCCACAAATCCTCTGACATGCAATTCCAGACAAAAATCATGTTTTAAATTAGAAAAAATCAGAGAGAAAGAATCAAGAGCAGGTGCAACACCCTTCCCTGCCCCCCATCCATGTATAAACAACATGGCTTCTGAAATTTCTTGGGGAGAACCTTGGGAGGTGTCACAAAAGTTATAAAGAAACAGCAACTAATTCTGTCGTGAGCCTTCCCCAACAATCGTCTCCAGTGTTTTCTACCTTCTCTTTGTATGTTTTGTACACTTAGAAGTGACACTTGAGAACTCATTATATATTGTGATATATCAAGCTTATTGAATCAAGTGCTGGTGACACGTCAGAAATAGAGATGTGCATCATCGCATTCAGGCGAAAGATGGTGTAAAGTTTAATCATCATTCTATGCCACCACACCGATGTAACCAACGGGTAATTCTACGAGTGGTATTCAGCTTAATCAGACGACAACCTACGTTGGCACAACAAAGCAAGCATGCACGTATGCACACAAACACATGGGGGCCCCAGCTACCAGTCGGAAACACAGATTAATTTACTCAACAAAGGTGAGCACTTATCATCTCTCCAGGAAGCAAACTGAGGATGACGGCTGCTAAAGAAACTATATTAAACATTACTCACATTCTGAGCCCCAGGCGAAGTTCCCATGATCAAGACGCAATGCTCGGTATTTTTTATTCCCACCTCTTGTTCGTACAGTGTGGATACGCTGAGGTCCGAGCTGTAAAGACAGATTTCCTGCATACATTCACACGTAATCCTACCCGGCCGTCAACTGCCGACTCTGTCCCATGCCTATTGACGCATCTGGTGGCGGCACTTCAGAAATAAGAAATGTGCATCATTGCATTCAGCCGAAAGATGGTGTAATGTTCATTCATCATTCTATGCCACCACAAGATGTAGCCACGAGCTGCCGTCAGGGTTCTCCCCAGGATGAAATTAAAACAGGGGGGGGGGAAGGGGAAACTAGGGGGGTCCGGGAAGCGTT